GGGGTCATGGTTTGGCGGGCACAGGGACAAGGCCCTCCAAAGATGGAGGACAGAGACGGAAACTTACACTAAACAAGAATATAGTTCTCCTATTGTTCCAGTACAACTGAGGGCTGGAGAAATGACTCATGGTTAAGAATTATTGCTGCAGAGGATCCTAGTTTGGTTCCCAGCATTTACATGGGGCAGCTGACAACTGCTTGTAACCCCATCTCCAGGGTATCCAGCATCCTCTTCTGACTCCTCAGACACTTGCACACATCACACACACACACACACACACACACACACAGAGAGAGAGAGAGAGAGAGAGAGAGAGAGAGAGAGAGAGAAAGCTGAAGAAAAATAAATTTTTAACTCTATATCACATTATTCCCCAAAGACATGCACCTTTCTCCAGCTGAAGTTAAAACTACTCATTTCTACCTACCCTCAGCTCTAGATGCTTTTGAATTTTGTGCCCCAGTCACTTTGGAGAATATTTCTCCCTGATGGACCTTCTCTAGAAAGACCTGGAGCCTCTTAGCTATGTTCTCCCAGATCCTTACACCCCTAGATTCTCCAATAGTTCCAAATCCTCCCTCAGAGTCGGTATAGACAGGGTTAAAAACACAAAAGCAGGGGATGGAGAGACAGTTCAGAGGTTAAGAGCATTGGCTGTTCTTCCAAAAGACCTGACTTCAATTCCCAGCAACCACATGGTGGCTCACAGCCATCTATAGTGTAACCTGATGCTTTCCTCTGGCCTGCAGGTGTACATGCAGGCAGAACACTGCATACATAATAAATAAATAAATAAATCTTTAAAACAGCAAACAAACAAAAAACTACTCTGAGGACTCCTGTGACCCACACTTTGCATCAGGGAAGGGGCCCACAGAATAAAATCTCACTAAAGCCCAGTTGTGTTTTGTTGCTTAAATGCAGTTCAATTCAGACACAATTTGGGAGAAAGTTTACATGGCCATAATCATTGCATTTGAAAGAAAACGAAGAGAGCTGAAGAAAATGGACCCAAAGGGAAACGGGGGCAGAGTCTCCAAAATGTGTGTTTGAAAGTCTGCCACTTATCATGGAGTAGAGGAAGCAGCCCGAGGCAGCCTGGAAGGGGAGGAACCCAAACTCAACCAAACTGCTTTGCTTGTTCACCTAACCCTACATTTTGGGTGCTGGAGACTAAACTCATGCCCTGCAGCCTCCTCCACCACTCAGCCGAACCCCAGGTTGAGGCTGCCAGCTTTGAGGAGCTCAGGTGTCCTTGTCCTCAGTCAGGCCCACCTGTGTTTACTGCCTTCACCTAGACTGGCTGCTATGCCATTCACCACAGTGAGGTGACACCAAGGGAGGACAGCTACAGGCTCTTATTTCACACTGTTCTTAGACAATGGAAAGAACAACCTACACCTTCGCTGAGCAGCTGAGCGCCTTCTATCCCATGAAATGGACTAACAATGTTACCAGGAAGTCTTGGGGGGCACTTCTTTAACTTTTTAAATAAACGACAGAAAAGGCAGACACCATTGGCCCTGCATCCTTCAGCCTCCTGGCTTTGGGCATCCTAATAAATCTTAGGGAAAAAAGGAGATTCAAAAGTTTGATACTCCGATGCCTTAGGTATGTGATGAGTTTTGTATGTTTGTCTTCCTATTAAAAATAAAAAATAAATCCAGGTGTACCCACCTGTAATACCAGCACTTGTGATGCTGAGGCAGGAGGATCACTGTGGATTTGAAGTCAGCTGAGTTATTGAGCTCCAGTCCTGCCTGGGCTACAGATTGACACCCTGTCTCAACATCCTGTCGCAACAAACCAAATATAAGCTACAATGTAAAAGGAAATTCAAGCTGTACTCTTTAGGGGAAGCTTTACTCCTGTCTCAGAGGAGTGGTTCAGCAATTGGACCAGAAAAGCTGGACATTTTAATATTTATATTCGCCTAAATCAATTCCATTTATCAAGAGACAGTCTCGTGTATTAACTGAATATTAGCTCTGTATATATTTGGAATACAACACTAACATCATATCTCTAAAAGGTTAATATGGGTAGGGTGGTATTCCAGGAAAAAAAAATCATTATTGAGATAGAAACAATGGTTTCTGCAAACTTTATTTTATATAGTTATGTGTAAGGAAAGGGGAAAAAACGGTTATTTTAATCGTTCTCTCATTTTACATCACAATTGTTGATGACTTTGGGTGTAACCCTTCTGCTCTATAGCCCCTCTTTCCTTTCTTCCACCCACCACGCTCAGATCTAATTTTTATGTCCCTGTTCCCATAATCACACCTGAATATCTGGTTCTGTCCACCTGCCCACACTAGTCTAGTCTTACTTGCTGTCCCCTTCCTGAATGTGACTAGATTTGAATGGAGGGCCTTGGTAGATAGCTCTTAGACCTTTATTCTCTACTACTACAAGACGACTTCCCCCTCCCCAATTAGTCATTTTAACTGAGGAAGTAAAAAGGCACCTGTAATTTTGTATAATGTCTTTCATGCCCCTAAACACGAAACCACTTCAAGTATGCCAAAGGAAGTGGTTGGTGACAATCCTGTAAATTTTTACATATCTTTGGGTAGTGGTAGCTGGGGGTGGGGGTGGGGTTTGTCCTGTATGGGATGGCGGCTACTGATGAATACGCAGAAAGATATATATCTCCCCCTAGTGGTTCCTCTTGGTGTCTGTCGTTGTCACCTCCAACTTTGCCCAGCTCCATCCCAACAGAGAACTGCGGAAATAATCCTCAAGGGCAAGTCCAGTGGCACTTTCTCCTCACCTTTCAACGGCTCTCTACCACCCAAAGAGCAAACATCCGTCCGAACCAAAGCTCTGTCCATCTGAAATAGTTACGTAAGCTCTGTTGTTCTGAGACAGAGTCTATACAGTTAGAGTAACCGTTAGGAACAGAAGCTGCAGAACTTCACATTGGGCTGTACACTTTCACTATCGGATATATTTTATGCAGTTTACCACCAAGAGTGAAAAATCCTTCATCGTTCAAACTATCCGTCCTATCCACTTTCATAGCTCATGTCTATTTCCTGCTTTCAGACCTTCCTCGTCCCCTAGTGGTTAACCTTTCTTGTTCTCTCATCTGTATATAACACTGCACTCAAATGCACATTTGCTTACATATAGATACATACACACATATACGGATATATACACACATACATATGCTAGTGGCTAGATTCTGCATGTCACTGAGAGAGATTTTCCCCCTCCTGAAATTGTGTTACCTTCCTTAACATTATGTCCATCCATTTTCCTGCACACTTTGTGATTTCATTATCCCTTAGAGCTAAATAGCATTCTTTTTTTGAGACAGGGTTTCTCTGTGTAACTCTGGTTGTCCTGGAACTAGCTCTGTATATTAGGCTGACTTCAAACTCAGAGATGTATCTGCCTCTGCCTCCCAAGTGCTGGGGTTAAACACGTGCACAACACTTCCTGGCTTTTCAATTTTTTTACATATAGAAAATTTTCATTTTCCATTCATCTGTTGATGACCAACTGAGTTGATTCTTATTCTTTGCTAGAGTGAACGATGCACCAGTAAACACGGAGGTGCAAATATCTCTGCGTTAGGGCATGGAGTTTTTGGGGTAAATATCTCTATGTCAGGGCATGGAGTTTTCAGGGTAAATGCCCAGGGGCGAAGTAGCAGGCTCACATGATAGCTTCAGTTGAACTTTTTTTGAGGAATCTCCAAACTGACTTCACAATGGCTGTGTTAATTTCTACTGTCACCAACAGTGAATGAGTTCCTTTCTCTCCTCATCCTCTCCAACACTGGTTGTCAGATTTATTGATGATGACCATTCAGACTGGGGTGAGGGAGTAGCTCAGGGTCGTTTTAATTTACATTTCCCTGATGGGCAATGATATTGAACCTTAAAAACAGTTATTGGCCCATTTGTGCTTCTTCTTTTGAAAAGTGTCTTATTTAGTTCATGTGCCTATTTACTGACAGCTTTAGCTCCTGGGTATACAATTTCCTCAATTCTTGTAAACTCTGGCTATCAGACCCCTGCTGAAGTGTGGCTGTGGCTGTTAAAGGTGTTCTCCCATGCTGTGGGCTGTTTGCTCTTCTGATCGTGTCATTTGCTGAACAGAAATCTTTTCATGAAGTCTAGTCTGTTGATAGGTTGAGCTAGATCCTGTAAATTTGGGTGAGTAAGTACCCTAGTCAAAACTTTCTTGCCCAACACAGTTATCTTGAAAGATATCTCTTATGTCTTCTTCTGGATGCTTCAGTGTTTCCGGTTTTAGATAAAGAGCTTTGATCCATTTTGAACTGATTTTTGCACCAGGTGGAAGATAAGAATCTAAGTATTCTAGTAGATTCTCATCAGCCCTCTAAGCCTCTCTTCCCAAACCCTGCTTTACTCCTTATCTGAGGTCTTCTCTATTAAAGCAAATGGCATTTGAACTATCATTCCAGGTGTTTTTAATCCGGAGTAAATGGAAGCAAGGAAAAACAATTCCCTTTCTTGTACTGCGATTCATTTATTTTTTTTTTTTAATTAGAGAATCAGACTTCAAGAAGATGCCTATTAGAAGTTCGCCCAGCCTCACATCGGCTTCCCCATTTAGACACATCTTTGAGTCCTCAGATTTTTTTTTTTAGTGGAGAGGGGTGTTTTGTTTGTTTGGTTGGTTGGTTGGTTGGTTTTTCAAGACAGGGTTTCTCTGTGTAACAGCCCTGGCTGTCCTGGAACTAGTTCTTGCAGACTAGGCTGGCCTCGAACTCACAACCCGTCCAGGGGGTTGATTTATATTTTTCAAGACAGGATTTCTCTGTATAACAGCCCTGACTGTCCTGGAACTAGCTCTTGTAGACCAGGCTGGTCTCCATCTGCCTCTGCCTCCCAAGTGTTGGGATTAAACAGGTGTGCCACCACCGGTTCACTCTCGTCGCCGGGAAACCACAGTTCGCCCCGCCTAACAATCGTTGCTATGGGCGGACACTTCGAGCCAGCGCGGAGTATTTAGGACGCCTGCGGCGGTGACCGAAGTCTCAGCTCTCGCGAGGTTTCCTCTTCCGGGAGTCGCTGGGGGACGTACTCCGCGAACGGTGTGGCGATGTGTGGGGACTGTGTGAAGAAGGAGTACCCCAATCGGGTGAGCAAGCGGGCGCGATGAGCCTCCCCGGCCCGGTCTTCGGCCGACATTCCTAGACAGGCCAGGCCCCCTCTGCAGTCCTGTCATCCCGGTGACCCTGGTCTCCGGGCGGCTGGTCCCCTCCCTGGTGGCTGACGTCAGCGGTCCTTCCGGTTCTCCCGTGTTTCTGGGGACAATCGAGAAACCTCACCATTACCTACCCGACCCGAGTTGACAGCAGCCCCTCAGCTCCTCAAAGCCATCCCGGCTTCATCCTCCGGCTCGATTTGATGAAATTCTTTTATCTAATCCTGGCTCGGGATGAACCTCTGAGGTCATGTTAGAACCCACTTTTTTGAGACAGGTCTCGTGTAGTCCAGGCTGGCTTCAAACTCACTATGTAGCTGAGGATGTTCTTTAACGTCTGTTCCTCCTGCCTCCGTGTTTTGAACGCTGGCATCACAGGCGTGCGCCATTATGTCCAGTTAATATAATGCTAGGGATAGAACCCAGGGCTTGGTGCCTGCTAGGTTAGCTTCCCACCTGCCTGTGTGCGGGTGTGTAATTCTTTAAATTTTTTTTTTTTAACGTATCTATCCCAGTTCCCTCTTCCTCCTCTCCTTCCATTCCCTCCACACACACACACACACCCATCCACTCCTCAGTTGACTTCCCAGGGGAGGCTTTACTCTCTAAGTCTGTCCCATCATCTCTTTGAGGCAAGACCAAACCACCCCCACACCCACCCCCATCCCCGCCCCAACCTTGGCCGGGCTGAGCAAGGTATCTCTCCATAGAGAATAGGCGCCACAAAGTCAGTTCATGGGTTAGTTAGATCCTGGTCCCACTGCCGGTGGTTTCACATACTGCCCAAGCCACACCATTGTCACCTGTATTCAGGGGGCCTCGTTCAGTCCTAGTTATCAGTCCAGCGTCAGTAAGTTCCCACTAACTCGGGTCAGCTTTCCCCATCATGGTCTTCATCCCTTTGCTCATGTTATCTTATCTATCGCTCCTCCCTCTCTTCGATTGCAGCAATCATTTCTATAATTTCGTTACTAACCCATGTTTGAAGATGGTAGAACAGTTTCCAGAGAGGAGCTACCACTTACCCAAGTATGAGAGCCAAGACTAGACTGAGAAATCCCCTCCTAGCCTCCTGTCTTTTCCTTTCTTCTTCCCGTCTCAGTACTGAGGATGGAACCCAGAGCCGGTACCTGCCAGGCAAGCTCTCTACCTACTGATCTGTGCTCCCAGCCTTTAAGCCTTTGTTTCTCTCAGGCTTGACTTTCCTCATTCTTTTAGGGAATACTTACTGCACCTTGCTATGTATAGGCAAATTGTTTGGCTAGGCTGTAAAACAGTGGTTCTCAACTTGTGTGGGTTTTGACACCTGGGTTCAAACAACCCTTTCCCAGGGGTTGCCTAAGACTATCGGAAAACAGAGATGTTTACGTTGTGATTCATAACAGTAGCAAAATTGCAGTTTTGAAGTAGCAATGAAGGAGTTTTTGTGATTGGGAGTCATCATAACAGGAGGAACTGTGTTAAAGGGTTGCAGCATTAGGAAGGGTGAGAAGACCTACTGCTATAAAAGAATGACTCACAGGGCAGCTTAAGAACTTACAGTTTGGGAGAGTGTGATTGACACAATGTGATTTAAAGTTAGTGAAAGGGAAGACTGGTAGGGAATAGGAGTGCAATGTTTTCCATCCAAAGAAGGTGGCTTTCGGAGGATTGTTAAAGTTAGAGGAGAAAGAAACCCAGGGAAAATAACAAGATGAAAGATTTTTTTTTTGGTTTGGTTAAGAAGTAAAGCATATTCATAGTTCTTTCTCCTAATATTTTGTGAGGTTTTGGTGGCTCATGCCCAGAATTTGAGAACCAGAGGCAGGCAGATCACAGAGTTCAAAACCAGCCTGCTCTACAAAATGAATTCCAGGACTACCAGGGTACACAGAGAAACCCTGTCTTGAAAAAAAAACAAGACAATCTCTCTCATATATGTATATATATGATATTCATATATATGTATATATTCTCTCATATATATATATGAGAGATATGTAAGTCTCATATATATGTATAATGATATGTAAGTCTTGAGATTGTTATGTAATGTGAATTTTCATGTGGTATAACCATTTATTTGGTTTATAAAAATGAGTATTATCAAATTTAAGTGTACACTGAAAAGATACAGAAGTGCTTATTCTAGAAAGATGCATGTTCATGTCTGGCAATGTGTATAAGAATGTTTGTAAGGTCATTATTTGAAATAAAGACCAGAACAGAACTTGTGTTCCTAAAAGGGAATATAAAAGTAGAGTCATGAAAGTGAGTTAACTCTGTGTGGCTCTCAGGTGGCAATGGCTTGGCCTCCCAGGGGCATTTGGCAGTATCCAGAGACTTTTGTTTGTTTGTTTATCAAGAAGGGTTTCTCTGTGTAGCCCCAGCTGTCCTGGAACTTGCCCTGTAGAAGGCTGGCCTTGAACTCACAGAGGCCGCCTGTCTGTGTCTCGCAAGTGCAGGGAGTGAAGGTGTGCCCCACCATCACCTGGCTAGAGACATTTTGATTGTCACAATGAAGGAACTACTGACCCTCTCATGGGTAAAGACCAACTATACTGCTGCCATCGATGCACAGGACAGCTATCAAAACAGAGGACTGTGTGCCCTAGTGTCAGTCATGCTGAGCTTGAGGAACCCTGAGTTAGGGCAATAAAAGCACTAGAATTAGATACAGTGGTCTGACTTTAGTCTGGCTGTATTGATAAAGAACACATGAAGTGCAATTTTAAATCAAGCCAACTAACGTATAGTAAGAATTTCCTGTTTGCTAAAACCAGGTTGGAAAGCAAGAAGTTACTGTAAAGTCATTGTATTGATGGCTGCTGAAGGTTATACCCAAGAGTGGTCGTATAAGGGACCAGAGATTGCTCAGTGGTTGGTGCTATTGAGAAGGACCAGGATTTAGTTCCCTGCACCCACATAGTAGCTAGCAACTGTCTATAACTCCAGTTCCAGTTCCTCTTCTGGCTTCCATGAGTACCTGGCAGGCATTCACATATGTAAAATAAAGACAATTTTTTTTTAATTTTTTTAAAATTTTTTTTAAAGGTACCTGGAGGGACAGCCGTGGGTGCTGGGAACCGAACTCTTATATTTTTTGGTTGTGAGCCTAGCCTTTAACAGCAGAGCCATCCCTCCAGGCCATAAAGACAATTTTTTAAGCAAAAAGAATGAGGGAGAAGTTTCTGGAATGTAAGAAGTGTCTTTGCCTTGACTGATGGTTCTGCAGTTTGTAATTGTTATTCTGTATGTTTCTGATTTTACTATTTTTCTATATTATGTTTTAGTTTATGCTTTAATATCTAGAAAGGTTTTTATGAGTCTTAATGAACATTGCACATTGGGGACTGTGAGGGAAAGTTCGCTGTGGAGCTTGTTAACAGAGCTGATTAGGGGCTAGAGAAATGGCTCAGAAGTCAAGAGACTCCAAGTTCAGTTCCCACCACTCAGGTCAGCTGCTCACAGCAGCCTGGAACTCTGGCCCCCGGAGGAGGGGTGGTCCAGTACCCTCCTCTGGCCTTCTCAGGAACCTGTATTCATTGTACTCACACCTCCACACACACGCTCACAGACAAGGACACATTAATCTTTAAAAAAGAGAGATTAGGGGGCTGGAGAGATGGCTCAGCGGTTAAGAGCACTGACTGCTCTTCCAGAGGACCCGGGTTCAATTCCCAGCACCCACATGGCAGCTCACAACTGTCTGAAAAAAACCCAGTTCCAGGGGATCTGACACCTTCACACCAATGCACATAAAATAAAGCTAAATAAACCATAAAAAATAAAAAAAAAAGAGAGATTAGCGGGGCAGTGGTGACTTACACCTTAATCCCAGCTGTCGGGAGGCAGAGGCAGGCAGATCTCTGTGAATTTGAGGCCAGCCTCGTCTACAAGAGCTAGTTCCAGGACAGGCCACAAAGCTACAGAGAAACTCTGTCTCGAAAAACAAAACAAAACAAACAAAAAACCAGATTATTGGTTTATTCTTTTCTATGCTTCCCCCCGCAACCAGAAGTAGCAGGATAACTTTATTCAGAGTAAAATGATAGTACAGATTAAAAGGGAGATGCACTGGGCTGGCAAGAGGACTTAGTGGGTCAAGATACTTGCTTGCCAAGCCTGACGACCCAAGTTCTATCCTCAGGACTCACATGGTGGAGGGAGAGAGCCAAGGCCTGCAGGTGTCCTCTGCCCGCCACGTGTGGCACAGGTGTGCTCCCCCAAATAAATACAGAGATGTAATGACAGAGAGACTGTCAGAGTTGCAGAGGGAGCACAGAGCAGCTCTGGGCTGCCGAGAAAGTGCTGTTCTAAAGCGTTCTTTTGCTTTTATTCAGTTTTGAATAATTAAAGGGCTGTCATGAGACAGAATTAAATGTTTCTTTGACATTTGAGAAGACATAGTTAGAAATAGCTAGTGGGCAGATAGAAAGTTCCCCATGCAGCTTCAGATATGGGATGGAGAGCTCTAAAGAACTCAGGACAGCTTTGTCCAGTTGAAGCTCAGTGACCATTTAGAATCCCTACTTAATTCCCATTCTTAGAAGGAAATTCTTTGTCCAGAGTCAGGATTCTTCCCATTAACTGGGGTTCTTTTAAGTCAGGCATTTTTAAGTGAAAGATTTAATTTTATTATTTTTAGTTATGTGTATATGTGTGGGTATGCACCATGGCATATTTTAAAGCATAAGAATAGAAGATAGGAATAGAGAATAGAAGCTGGGCAGTGATGTCACATGTCTTTAATTCCAACACTTGGGAGCTAGAGTAGGTGGATCTCTGAGATTGAGGCCAGCCTGGTCTACAGAGTGAGTTCCAGGACAGCCAGGGCTACATGGAGAAACCCGACCTGTCCCAGAGTTTGTGTTTGGGGGAAGTCAGACAAGAACCAGTGGAGAACTACTGCTTCCTGGCTTTCTTCCTTCGGGCTCCTCAGCTCATTTTCTTACGCAGTCCAGATCCTGCCACCTGCCCAGGGGTGGCACTGCCCATGGTGGGCTGGCCTGTAGCACAAATTCTAATTGGTCTTAATAACAAAAACTCAAGAGTCAACTATCGGGGTGAAAGCGGAAGGATCAGAGAAACAGCGGCCAGCCACTATAGAGTTCTTACCTCTACCATTGTTCAGACCAAAGGGACAATTTTGTCCCTACAAAGCCTCAGACTGCATTCTCGGACTGTTCTTCAAACTGCCACAAGCTCCTGTCTCCTCCTGCCTTACACTCCTCTCTCTGCCTAGCCATATCACTCCTGTCTCTACCTCCCTAGTGCTGGGATTAAAGACGAGTGATCCCAAGATCATCTTTGTGTGAACTCTGTTTCTCTTTTAGACAAGATTCAATCTGTGTAGTCCAGGGTGGCCTTGAACTCACAGATCCGTGCCTGCCTCTGTCTCTCAAGTGGTGGGATTAAAGGTGTGTGCACCACTGTCTGGCCTCTATGGCTAACTAACTCTGCACTCTGATCTTCAGGCAAACTTTGTTTGTTAGATCACAAATAAAATATCACCTGACCCTCCCACATTGGTCATTTATCAAGAAAATGCCCCCCACACATGCCAACAGGTCAATCGAATGGAGGCAGATCCTCAATTGAGATTCTTTCTTTTCAGATCTGTGTGTTTGTGTCAAGTTGACAAAAAAAATAAATAACTCATTGCCCTTTACAATGTGTAAGTTTTACTTTCTGTAAAATTAGAGTGTGTCCCTATTTCTTCATTGCTGAAAGTCTATAATTCCAAAATTTGTCTTTTTTCTTCAAAGTATCTTAAGTAAATATCTATGTCTAACTATATAGTGATATCTTTTTTAAAATTTATTTAATGTGTATTGATGCTTTGCCTGCATACATATCTGTGTAAGGGTGTCAGATCTCCTGAAACTGGAATTACAGACAGTTGTTAGCTGTAATGTAGATACTGGAAATTGAACCCAGGTCCTCTGCGAGAGCAGTCAGTGCTCTTAACCACTGAGCCATCTCTCCAACCCCATATAATCATATCTTAATTCCTCCTCCAGAACTAATCTCTTCTTTAATACACAGAGGTAAGACACCCTCAGAAGGGAGAGAGAGTTGTGGTGTGGGGAACCAGGAAGACTCATTTGAGGTGGCTCACCCTTGAGTCATCCCTGGAGCTCTCTGTGGCACCAGATACACAGATGCTCTGGAGAAATGTTGTGAATGATTTTTGTATCACAATAACTATTAAAAACGCCCAACCAGGCAGGAGAGGCGACTCAGTAGCTAAAGAGCTTGCTGTTTAAGCGTATTGACCCAAGTTCCATACCCAGAACTAGCGTAAGGGTGGAGGACTCCGTGAAGTGCTCCTCTGACTTCTGCACATGCAGCTGGACCCATGCACACTGCTCATCACATAATAAAATATATTCTTAAAAAACAGAAATAGGGGCTGGAGAGATGGCTCAGAGGTTAAGAGCACTGCCTGTTCTTCCAAACGTCCTGAGTTCAATTCCCAGCGACCACATGGTGGCTCACAACCATCTGGAATGGGGTCTGGTGCCCTCTTCTGGCCTGCAGGCATACACACACAGACAGAATATTGTATACAAAATAAATAAATAAATATTAAAAACAAAAAAAAACAGAAATAATCAGTATTACTTAGAACCGTGTTAGATTATCTGCAAAATAGCATTCATAGGTGTTAACAGAGTCTTAGCAGAGATGTCTCTCTGAGCCAGGAGTCTGTTTAGTTGTTCATGCTAAAGCAGAAGCCTCTGCTCCTTGACCACCATTGTTTTGGTCTGGTCCACTGGAGCACCTAACCTTCTCTGCCTCAGTACCACATACTCTTAAAAGACTGAAGTCGTGCCTGGGATACTTGCCGCTATCCTGTGGTGTTAATAAAGGCTCGAGAGGAAGCTGTTTCAGTGTGTACAGTTATCTTTAGCATTGACTCATTGCTTCTATTTTGATTGACTTAATTCTAGTTTTGTTTTTCAAGACACAGTTTCCCTGTGTAGCCATGGCTGTCATGAAACTCGCTCTGTAGACTAGGGTGGCCTCAAACTCACAGAGACCTCTGTCTCCCAAGTGCTGGGATCTTAATTCTAGTTTTATGGCTGGTCCTTTAAAAGTACTTCTAAAATTTTCTAATTTCTTTTTCATATTGAATGTTTTTCCTTGTTATTTCTAAATATTTGGACTTAGTTCTCTTTTATGCTGTTTTCTCTGCATAGGTACATAGGGAGTTCTTAGGTGCATAGGGATTGTACCTAAGCTGATTACTTAAAAACGTACTTCAAGCAGGGTGGTGGTAGCCCACTCCTTTAATTCCAGCACTCAAGAAGCAGAGACAGGTGGATCTCTGAGTTCGAAGCCAGCCTGGTCTACAGAGAAAGTTCCAGGACAGGCTACAAAACTACACAGAGAAACCCTGTCTAAAACAAACAAACAAAGAAACAAACAAACAAGCAAATAGATTCAAGCAGATATCTTCTGGCTGTGTCTTTTACCTGTCGAGATTTTGGGCCTATTAATCAGTTTCACCAAAGTTTTCAAAGTGTAAGAAAATTTCTATCTAATACTTTAGGGGAGCACCTGTCTGGAGAATGGATCATTCTTGCTGAACTTCACAGGCTGTGCGGTGTGCAATAAGCTGGATTTTATGCTGATCACTAACAGATCCCTGAAAGAAGAAGATGGAGAAGAAATAGTTACCTATGATCGTAAGTTGAGTTTGTTTTGAAATCCTAAGCCATTGGCAGGTATCAGCTTTCAGAAGCTGGTGTGTGTCGTGTTGCAGGGTATAGTTACTGAGAGGAAAATCCAGTGAGGACCTCCTCCTTTACCCAGCATCTCCACACTGAAGAGCTGCAGATAACTCAAGGCTGAGATCCAGGTCTTGCTTGCTCTGTAGCTCAGGCTAACCTAAACTTGTGATCTTCCTGTCCCTGCCTCTTCAGCAATGAGATTATAGACGTGTGCCACAACACCCAGCCAGTTGTAAAGACTTTATATCATCTTAGATAGGATACACACAGAAAGTTTATTGTTTGTTTTTGTCTGCCTTTGAAATCTGCATCTCCTTTAAGGTGTATTTTGTGGAGGGAACAGAGCATAGTGAGTAAGAGCCGTGGTTCTGGGGCCGCATTCTTGTGTTAAGAATTCTGGCTCCAAACCTCCTATGTCTGTAGTTGTCTGTTTACTTAATCACAGTGTGCCTTTGTTTCCTGACAAAGGGAACATAATATTATGTCTCATTGAATTTTAGATTATATGAATAGCTAAAAAGAAAAAAGTGTTTAAAGATACCTGGCATACAGTAACCACAGTTTGTTTATGTTAAATTATTTTTAGTAGGCTCTTCTGTTGCCATCCAACGTTACCATCACTTTAACGTCCCCCTGGTGTTATTGAGGCCTGGCCGTAACTGCCCGCTTACTCTCTTTCCTGAGAATAACAGCATCTGTGTAGCCACATGGGGCCACTTTTCAAAAACACAATCTTAGACTTGCTAGCACAGGCCTTTGATCCCAGATACTTGGTGACAAGCACCTTTACTCGATCTCTCCAGCTTGGTCCCAGCTACTCAGGAGGCTGAAAGGTCAAGGCCTGCCTGGACTACAGAGTGAGTTCAAAGTCAACCTGGGCAATTTAGTGAGACCTTAACCCAAAAAGTGACAAGGTCAGGAGGTGGTGGCGCACACCTTTAACCCCAGTACTCAGGAGGCAGGCAGATGTCAGTGAGTTAATCCCAGTACTCAGGAGGCAGGCAGATCTTGGTGAGTTCGAGGCCAGTACAGAACAAGTTCCACAACAGCGAGGGCTTACAGAGAAACCCTGTCTCAAACAAAACAAAGCAAATAGAAAGAGTGACAAGAAGACTGGGAATATAGGTCAGTGGTAGAGTGCCTGCTCTAGGTTCAGTTCCTAGTGCCCCAAAAGTAAATGAATAAATAAATGACATCTGTGTATCTGTGTATTGATTTCTGTAGGTAGCTTTCAGTGGGAGTTAATGTGTATACATTGAGCCTTTGAGTTCAGGTCCTAATTAGGTAATGTTGTGATAGAATCTGGATTTCCTAAGGTCAGCACTCTAATGAGTTCTGTGCTAAATGCGACAGAGTTAAGATTCCTTTTAAGCATTATATGCTAAGAATAGAAATTTCATTGTTTTAAGAAACTTGTCCAGACTTCATTATGTGTCTTTGTTTTGACAGACCTGTGTAAGAATTGTCATCATGTAGTAGCCAGACATGAGTATACATTCAGTATCATGGATGAATTTCAGGTAAATGTATATGTGGGTATTATTGAGGTGGGACAAAGACTAAAAGTACCCTCTAGCATCTACACACAGTTTTTGTAATGAAGTACTAGCAATTATTAATGGAAACCACCACTGACTTTATTTGTGTAAGCTGGGAAACCTTAACCGTGGGTGGATCTGTGCATCTCCACAGGAATCACAAATCAAAATATGTGCTTTATAAATGATTTTCAGTCCTGTCATTTTATTTAATTAGTTTACTATGGGTTTTTTCTTCCCTCCTTCCTTCCTTCCTTCCTTCCTTCCTTCCTTCCTTCCTTTAAAAGTTTCATCTATTTGTTACGTGTACAGTGTTCTGCACACCAGAAGAGGGCACCAGATCTCATCCTAGATGATTGTGAGCCACCATGTGGTTGCTGGGAATTGAACTCAGGACCTCTGGAAGAGCAGCCAGTGCTCTTAACTTCTGAGCCATCTCTCCAGCCCCCTATGGGTTCTTTCTTAAAAATAAGATTTAAAATATTTATTGCTTTTTATATGTATGTGTGTTTGTCTGTGTGGGGCACACATGTGCATGTGTGCATACCTTGTGAATACTTGGTGCCCAGAAAGACCAGAAGAGGGTTCTAGATTCCCTGGAACTGGAGTAACAGATGGTTGTGAGCCACCTTGTGTCTTTTGCAGGAGCATCAATGCTCTTCACTGCCAGGCCATCTCTAGTCTGCCAGTATGGGTTTGTATGAGATTACTACAGTGGTGCTTTTTCTCCAGTACTGTGGGAATTGCACAGTTGGCTTAATTTAAGTGCTGGCTGCTAGGTGGTAGCGGCAGTAGCAGCACATACCTTTAATCTCAGCACTCAGAAGGCAGAGGCAAACGGATCTCTGAGTTTGAGGCCAGCCTGGTCTGCAGAGTGAGTTCCAGACATTGTCCTGTCCACGTAGTGCGTATGAAAATCTGATAAGGAGGTTATGCCCAAGTTGGTATGTGGATTTGAGCAACTGTTTGTTCTCAAGTTTACTAAGCCTTTTTTAAATATATAATTTGCTAAACTAACTTGAAAGGTAGATCCATCAAGGATGAAGGAGCAAAGCAGAATCAGTAGAGAAAAGTGGTTTGTTACGTTAGTTTTCCTGCAGTCAGGAGAACGTTGAAGAGCTCTAGTCTCTAGCATAGGCCCATGGTTGCTGAAGATCAGGACAAACATCCCAATATTAGCGGGACCTAGCTCTGGACAAACCAGGACCCAGGGCTCTTCCTTAAGGTGCTTATTTTCAATTTTTAAACTGGCTTTGTGTGAACTGTATATTTATGCACAAGATAAGAGTATCAGGTTAGACTTCAAACAGCCGAGATAATTTTTTAAGTCATTCAAATTTAGTATTTATTTAGGAAAATAAAATGTAATTGGCTACAGCAAAACCATAAAATAGCATAATACCTTCTACTCATATTTTTAAATTTTTACTTATTTTAAAATTTATTTATTTATTTATTTATGTATATAACATTCTGCCTCCATGTATGCCTGCATGCCAGAAGAGGGCGCCAGATCTCATTATCGATGGCTGTGAGCCACCATGTAGTTGCTGGGAATTGAACTCAGGACCTCTGGTAGAGTAGCCAGTGCTCTTAACCACTGAGCTATCTCTCCAGCCCCCTATTTTAAATTTTTTTTTTGAGATTTGTTTTTACTTTTATGTGTGTAAGTGTTTTGCCTTCATGTATGTCTATGTACTGTGTCTATGTACCATGTACATGCAGTGCCCACAGAGGCCAGAAGAAGGTGTCATATCCCCCTGGAACTGGAGTTACAGTTGTGAGCTGCCACACGGGTGCTGGGAATTGGAGCCAGGTCCTCTGGAAGAGCAGCCATTACTTTAATGACTGTGCCATCTCTCCATCCCCTAAATTTTGCTTATTTTTATTATGTGTATGAGTGTTTTGCCTGCATGTATGTACCACATTTGTGCCTGGTACCCATGAAGGCTAGAAGAGAAGACTAAATCTCCTGGAACTGAAGTCACACATAGCTATGAACTGGCTGTGGGGGTTGGAAACTGAGCACAGGTCTCCTGCAGGAGCAGTAGGAACAGCAAGTGCCTTTAACTGCCTAGCCATCTCTAGTCCCTCATTCGTATTTTTAAATGGAAAGAGGAACATACATACACAATTACATATGTCAGGATCTGATCTGAGATATTTTGCTTAATCTAAACATCTTGACTATAACTCTCCCCAGCCCCCCAACCCCGCCCCAGACAGGATTTCTCTGTGTAGTCCTGACTGTCCTGGAACTCGCTTGGTAGACCAGACTGGCCTCAAACTCACAGAGAGATCCATCTGCCTCTCTGATTCCCAAATGCAGGGATTAAAGATGTGCACCACCACTGCCCGATGACCACAAAGCTTTTTAACAACCAAAATTTAGTAGGATCAGGGTCTGGAGAAGGGGGTGTCTGGAGGCGCCATGTCAGGCCGGGAAGGTGGCAGAAAGAAGCCCCTGAAACAGCCCAAGAAGCAGGCCGAGGAAATGGGTGAGGAGGATAAGGCTTCCAAGCGGAAACAAAAAGAGGAGCAGAAGAAGCTCGAGGAGCTAAAAGCCAAGGCCGCAGGGAAGGGACCCCTGGCCACAGGTGGAATTAAGAAATCTGGCAAAAAGTGAGCTGTTCCTCATATCTGAGATGATGGTGACCCTCTTCCATTCCTATTTAAACTTCTGGATTCCCTGCCATAACATCTTTGCCATCTACAGCTAGAATGAAGTGTTATCCTGGAGCCTGTTAAACATCTGGTTTCCCTACTATAACATCTTTGCCACCTATAGTTAGAATGAAGTGTTATCCTGGAGCCTGTTGTACTTTGTAATAAACTTTTGTTAAAAAAATAATAATAATAACAAAATAAATAATACAAATGGCAAAAAAACAACAAAGATTTATGCCTTAAAATATTTATATAATTTGTGTAACTTACAGCAAAACCAAGGTCTCAGGGACCAAAGAGTGAGCATTTCATAAGCTTAGACACCCCTAGCTCTGTCTTTGTGAGAGGAAGCGGGTATTTACAACTCCTTTAAGTGCACATGGGGTCTTTGAGTGGATATTGAGATTGCCCGGTTAGTCCTGAGAGAGCTGTTGTAAAGCACTTTCATGAGACCAAAGTCCAGCTCATTTTCCTTTATGACTGAGTATAACCACCTTCAGACAGCCCCCAAAATTACTCTGTGTAGAAGCAAGAAAAGGAAAAGGAAGATGGCTTGTAGCCATAATGCCTAATTAATTTCCAGTTCTCTTGCAAACAGAATCTCTTGCACTGGGCTCTACCTCTAGTCCTATATTCTCAACATCTGTTCTTGCTCAACCCACATCCTATACTTAGCCATCAGATGGTTTTATATTGCTTTGCTGGCCTTTGGCAGCCATCATTGCTGTAATACACGTGCAGGCTCCTTACCCCAAGACTGTAGCTGGCCCAGCTTCTCTCACTCATTTCCCATGGCTCTTCCATACATACCCCATATAAAATAGTGCTCCAACATTGGAGGAGGATTCTCCTTCTTTCTCTTGAATGCTACTCTACCCCATATCATGAGGGATCACATGATACTGTCTCCAGCATCTTTTCTAGGTTGGAAATTTTATGTTAAGGCTATCCAAATGCCCTCTTTTGGCCTCTGTGAGCACTGCCCTTACATATATTAATCTGCAACACACACACAAATGCACATAAATTTTTTAAAAAGTGTTTAATAATGGTGGCTCATGCCTTTAATTCCAGCACTTGAGAGGCAGAGACAGATGGATTTCTGTGAGTTTAAGGCTAGCCTGGTCTACAGAGTGAATTCCAGAACAACTAGGTCTACACAGAGAAACCCTGTCTCAAAAACCAAAACAAATCAAAAAGTTTAAAAATTGCATTAAACATGCTTAGCTCTTCTTACTTTGTTAAAAATAATTTAAACTTATTTGTTTCACTCAGCTGCTTCTGTGATCCATTCTGGAAGCAGTTCTTTACTTGTTTTTGCCTTTTTTCTTGAATAGTTTTGTTTTGTTTTTCCTATTTTGAAAGTGTCTCATTGTGTAGCACTGGAGAGTCCCTGCCTTACCCCCCAGTGCTGAGATTAGGGACCTGCACCACCGTGCTCAGTTTTGAATATCTGTAACAGCTCTCCTATTTCCGTGTTCCTCTAACTCTGTAAAGTGGCCTTCATTTTCCTTTGGTTAAAGCTCCTGTCCCGCAGGCCTCTGCAGCCCTTCTTACTCCCATGCTGTTGCTGTTTGTAACTCTCTCACTGTCTTTTCCAGATCTGGGTTTGTTAACCTTCGGTTCCTTAAGTGTTTCTTTTCTTGCGGTCTGCTTGACTGTTTTTTTCTGTGTCTTACAATAGATTTTAACTGCTTTTTTGCTTCTTTCTCTCATGCTCTTTCCTGTTTTCTAATGGCAAGGCTACACGGGGCAAGATGGAGAGGGAAGTGCAGAGTACATCAGGAATATATTACACGCCACTGTAATCTTTGAAATCTGACAAAAGCCCTTAAATGGATGGTGTGATCACCTTGGGGAATATGTGAGTGAGTTGGGGGCGGTGGCTAGGGGTGGGAAAGAGAACAAGGGCCTCTGAGTGAGCACTTGGGAGGCTCTATCTGCTCCACCCTTCCCCCAGATGGTTACTCCTAGCCCGCTGAGCCTCCCTAGGAATGCTTAGGGCCTATAAATTCCCCCCGCCGCGCCCCCACTTGGCCAGATTGGTAAAAGGTGTCCTGATCTCACGGAGCCCTGTGTCCCTAGCATCTTAGCCTACTTTCCCACAGAAGCACTGTAGTATGTGTTTAGATCCCACAGCCTCTATCCAACACAATCTTAAAAGACGTGTGTGTTTTCCTGGGAATCTAACTGCCACATATGTAACATACTCCCATGGGGAGCTACTGTGGAATTCCAAATCACTGACTTACAATGAAATTCACATTCCTGGTTGCCCATAAATCAGAGGTTACAAATATGGCCAGTTTCACTGATTTAATAATCTTACCAGGTTATATCATGCATTGTATCAGTTTTTTTTTTTTCCAAGTCAAGGGCATTAATTTTGTAAAGGTCAGGGTGTGTTCTTTCCTTTGTTCGTGACTGACCGCTGCACACAGCACATTGCAGAGCATGGACACATTCACTAGAGACTTGACAGGTTAGGTTAGTGGAAAATCCAGCACTCTCTTTCTCTCTTTCAATTGAACATTTTTATTTTGTTGCTATTTAGTGTTTGTTTGTTTGGGGCCATACTGGGGAATTAAACCTTAGTCCTTCATGCTTTCAAGGAAAGTACTCTACCACCTGAGCCAAAACTCAGCCCTTTCTCCCTCTCCCTCTCTCTCCCTGCCCTCTGTGTGTGTGTTTGTGTGTGTGTCTGTGTTGAGACTTGGGCTTGCTTTGTAGCTCAGGCTGACCTCAGCCTTATGACCCTCCTGCCTCAGTTTCCCAAGTGTGGGATTAGAAGTGCTCTCCATCACACTTTGTCTTCCCAATAGTGATAGTGAGTGATTGTCTTCCAGTAGTGATGTCTGGTGGGCTCAAGCAGTAGATGTGTTGACAACAGCAGATACCTTGTAGAGGGTAGATTTTTATTGTATTTTATGCTCATGAGTAGTATCTATTCTCTAAGCATTAGCCTGTATGTATTTCTACTGGGTCTATAGAGGAGACTTTACAATCATGAGTGCTGAGAGGTAACTCAGTGGAAGGGTCCCTGTCTAGGATGCTCAAAGCTCTGGACTTAACTTCCAGCACTGAAAATCAATCAGCTGGCCAATTGATTAATCCAAGAACAGTCTTCAAAAGTGACTATCTGCTGTCTGCTAGACTTGCCAGTTGAAATGGAAAAGTACTTGTCTTCTTTGGGAACTTTGTGCTTTGTCATTGCTTTGCTCTGCAGTCCTTTCTAGTGACTGTCCACACCCAGAGACACTGTTTGACTGATCACTTCCAGACAGCAACATCTGCTGTGGAGGCACTAGTAGATTCAACATAGATACTTGTTTTCCTAAACAAAACAAAAATATTTTAAATAAAAAGTTTAAAGGACATACATCTGTGACAACTGTAAGAATAGGTCTTTGCCTTAAGGAATTTTGCTTAAAATAAAATCCCTTCTGTCACCCATCTAGACATTTGTTAAGCATAAGACACGTGAAACTTGTTAAAAACTTAAATACTAAATAGATGAAATCTTGAGCAATTAACTGTTTAATATGAGCTGTGACCTGCTAGGGAACATAATATATTTTTTATTTCCTAGGGCTAATAAAGGTAGCTTTATTCAGCTTGAGAATTCTGTCTCCCTCCCACACCCCCATTGTATAAATATCTTGGAAAGGTACAGCCCTAAGAACAAGAATTTGTCCTTCAAAATACACACCCAATCTGCTTCATTATTTATTTTATTTATTCATGTTTTTTTAAGAGGTTCATTTCAGCTAGTCAATTATGCTCTACACCTTTAATCCCAGCACTTGGAAGGCAAAGACAGGTGGATTTCTGTGAGTTTGAAGCCAGCCTAGTCTACAGAGTGAGTTCCAGGGCAGCCAAGGCTACAGAGAAAAACTCTCATGAAAAACAAAAAAAAAAAGAGTTCATTTGTTCAATTACTATTTATTTGTGTGTGTGATGTGCATATTTGCCATGAAACATGTACAGGTTTAGAGGACAAAACTTGGGAGTCCATTCTTCCACTGTCTAGGTTCCTGGGATCAAGGTCACCAAGCTCAGGTCAGCAAGATTGAACAGCAAATGCCTTTACCTGCTGAGTCACCTCACTGCTCACTGGCCTTTTCCTTCCTTCCTTCCTTCCTTCCTTCCTTCCTTCCTTCCTTCCTTCCTTTCTTCCTTTCTTCTTCCTCTCTTTCTCTCTTTCTCTCTCTCTCTCTCTCTCTCTCTCTCTCTCTCTCTCTCTCTCTTTCTTACTTTTTCTTTTTGAGGCAAGGTTTCATGGAGTCCAGGCCGGCTTTGAACTCCTGATCCTCCTGCCTCCACCTCCTGAGTGCTGGTGTACAGTTGTGTGCCACCATGCCCAGTTTGTGCAGTACTGAAGACTGAAACCAGGGCTTTGTACATAGCAGACAAGTTCTTTACCAGTTGAGCTACATGCAGCCTCAGCCCGGGTATCTTTATTAGTTTAAATAGAAGCACTAAGCAAAATATTTATGCTTTCTTAGTGCAAGAAATAGCCATGTACTTTCAAATGACATTCTTACATACGTGATAACTAAGAGTTTACACGAACAAAAGGCTCCAGGAGTGTGCAGAATAAACGTAAGCACTGCTAGTGGGAGCTGAAGAACTAATCTGATGTGCAGCAGGATCACCAGTGGCAACTTACAGGAAAGCTTTTCTGAGCAGTCGTTTATGGAGCATCTTTCTCCCTGTCCCTTGAGGTAATTTTGTACTTTGTCTTGTTCTAGGAGTACACCATGCTGTGTCTGTTGTGTGGCAAAGCTGAAGACACCATCAGTATTCTCCCTGATGACCCCCGACAAATGACTCTGTTGTTCTAAGCTTCCTGTGGTTCTGTTGTAGCTATGTTGGCTTGACTTACAATATAGCAGGCCTGATGGTTTGTCTAAGTCTAATAATGAAAATTCTTTGTATTTCTTTTTTCTACTTAGACTTACCTCCTTGGAAGAAAAAGTAATTTGGGGAATTGTTGTTTCCTAGAGTTGAGCTCCTCTGCTAATCCCCTGTACGTGCCAGAGTGAAATGTCTTTGCTCGTGGTTATTTGGCTAGAAAACCACTAGAGCCTGTGCACATTCTGCACTCAGATCTTGGTTTCCTGTCAGAGGAATCCACAAATCCTTGCAAAAGTAAGTGTGGAGTGAGCAGGAATTCTACATGATGAATTTAGAGTATTTTGTGCTACCAAAAAACCCACCACTACCAACAACAACAACAGTCAACCAACCAAACAAACTAAAAACAAACAAGCAACAAAAAACACAGAAATCAAAACCACAGTGGTTAAGGGATAGTCAGACAAGAATTACCAGTGAACACAACAGTATTCATTTTAAAATAAGTGAATTGATATTGAATTATAACCCAGAGTGTATACTAAATACCCATGCTGATAGCAATGATTGGGTGGATGGATGGATAAATAAATAAGGGAGGAAAAGAAAGGGAAAGGAAGGGGCATGGATTTCCTATGGTTCTACATTGTCAGTGTGGGCTGTGTGCATAGTGGCTTCCTTCCAAAGAGTAGCAAGGGCTCAGCAGTGATAGCACACACCTTTAATCCCAGCACTCGGGAGGCAGAGGCAGGCAGGTCTCTGTGAATTCGAGGCCAGCCTGGTCTACAGACAGAGCTAATTCCAGGATAGCTAGGGCTGTTACACAGAGAAACCCTGTCTCAACCTCCCCCCCCCCTCAAAAAAAAGTAGCATGGAAAGAGGGAAAGGAATGACTTTAAGGAAGAGAACTCTAACAAACACTGGCTCAGCTAGGCGATCATGGTTAATAACGCCATCAGTAAGCCTTGATGTCGGGTACCCTTGATATGATACAGTATGAAGATCTCTGTGGTTTTTTCCCCAGGGAGCCATAATCTATGTAATCATAAGAACAACACACAAGTTCAGTTCTGCAGAGTGATTGTATCTTTCAAAACTACCCAAGGTCTTCAAAAACAAGTAAAATCTGAAAAACTAGGAGGCTAAGGAGGCATGGTACTTGAATGTATTGTAATGGAAGCCTATCCTAGAGGAAGGATGCATGTGAGAAACCAGAGACTTGGAATAAAGGATGTAATGTAAGTTTATAGGATCGTTTCATTTACTCCAAAGGGATCATAGAATGTGTTTTGTGCATGATTGAAAGAGCACTGGTTTGGTGGTCACAACACTGGCTTTTAGGCCACATTGTCCTTTGGAAGCAGATAGCCCTTAAACAGAGCAGTGCTCTGGACTTCGGTATCCTGTTTCTGTAAAACTGGGCTAACAGAATGTGATACTGTGCTCTTTTTGCAGCATTGCTAGGAGACCCAAATGAATTAATGAATGTAAAGTTCTCCATAGAGAATAGGCTCCAAAAAGTCAGTTCATGTGCTAGTGTTAAATCCTGGCCCCACTGCCAGTGGCCTCACAAACTGCCCAAGCCTCACAACTGTCACCCACATTCAGAGGTCCTAGTTCTATGCAGGTTCCCCAGCTGTCTGTCTGGAGTCAGTGAGTTTCCATTAGCTCAAGTCAGCTGTTTCTGTGGGTTTCCCCATCTTGATCTTGACCCCTTTGCTCATATTATCGCTTCTCCCTCTCATTGATTGGACTCTAGGAGCTCTGCCCGGTGCTTTGCTGTGGATCTCTGCATCTGCTTCCATCAGTTACTGGATGAAGGTCTATGATGACAATTAAGGCAGTCATCAATTTGATTACAAGGGAAGGCCAGTTCAGGCACACTTTCCATTATTGCTTAAAGTCTTAGCTGGGGTCAACCTTGTGGATTCCTGGGAATTTCCCTAGTGCCGGGTTTCTTGCTAACCCAATAATGGCTCCTTCTATCAAGATATCTCTTCCCTTGTAATCCCTGTCTTTCCCATCCCATGAAAAAGTGGTAAGTAGCCTTGAACGCATTGGCACAGGAAACTGCTTCTTAAATATAATACCAGTAGCACAGGCATTGAGAGCAACAATTAATAAATGGGACCTCCTGAAACAGAGAAGTTTCTGTTATGCAAAGGACATGGTAAGTAAGACAAAATAGCAGCCAACAGAATGGGAAAAGGTTTTCCAACATCTGACAAAGGACTGATACCCAAAATATACAAAGAACTCAAGAAATTAGACATCAAAATACCAAATAGTACAATTAAAAATGGGATACAAATCTAAACAGAATTCTCAACAGAGGAAGCTCAAATGGCTGACAGACACTTAAGGAATTGTTCAACATCCTTAGCCATCAGGGAAATGCAAAATCAAAACAACTCTGAAAGGCTCTGATTAAAAACACTAATGGCCGCTTATGCTGGAGAGGATGTGGAGTAAGGGGAACACTCGTTCATTGCTGGTGGGAGTGCAAACTTGTACAGCCACTTTGGAAATCAATATTGTTGTTTCTCAGAAAATTTGGAATCCATCTACCTCAAGACCCAGCTACCACTCTTGGGCATATACTCAGAGGATGCACACTCATACCAAAAGGACATTTGCCTAACTATGTTTGTAGCAACATTATTCATAATAGCCAGAACCCTCAACTGAAGAATGGATAAAGAAAATGTGGTACATTTACACAATGGAATACTCAGTAATAAAAATAATGACATCTTGAAATTTTCAGGCAAATGGATAAAACTAGAAAAAAACCTTCCTGAGTGAGATAACCCAGACCCAAAAAGATGAACACGGTATGTACTCACTCATAAGTGAATATTAGACATAAAGCAAAGGATAACCAGCCTGTAGTCCATGACCCCAGAGAACCTGGGTAACAAGGAGGACCCTAAGAGAGACATACATGGATTCCCCTAGAAAGGGGAAATAGACAAGATCTGAGTAAAATGGGAACATGGCAGGGTGGGAATGGGGTTGAAGGGGAGGGGAAGGAAACACACTTATTTACACTGCCATGAGATTGATGCCCTTGTAGGTCCAGGTTGAGAGTCAGGAAGAACATACATGAAATCAGCAGCTCAGAATCACATGGCTGCCATGGTGACCTCCTCCCAGCAGGGAGGTGAGCATCATGAGATATAAAACTTTGCAAGTCAGGAAGAGGTCATCTCGGTGGTATCAGTGACAGCCCTCCACAGAACCTAGGCATGCCATACAAAGATACTCAGAAGTTAGGTCAGCTGCTCCAGAAGGTCAGTTGGTTTATTCCTAGAGAATGCTTTTCCATTTTTCTACAAATCTGTATCTGACCTGCTGAGGAAATCGTTTCAGGAAATGAATCCAAAGGCAGAGAACTGCTTCATTTCTGTAAATAGCAGCAGTGAGCCATCACAGCCTCTGAGTGGTCCCTCTTGGAGTCTGCCGATACTTCCGGCTTAGTCATTTGAAGCTGAAGAGTATGATACCATATGCGCCCAAGACACCTTATCTATTACAGTATTTCACAATTATCCACCTGTTTTGGAGATAGCTTAGAAAATTTCAAAACACAAGATCCTGTCTATTTATTTCACTGTTATTTAGCGAGCCTGTCATCTTCGGGGTGGGTTGGGGGCTAACACAATAAAGGTGTCTTAAACCCAGTTCTGCTGGTTTCTTATTTTTCTGTTCAAATAAAGGAAAGCCAGACAAATTCATTAGTCTTTCCTATTGAAAGGAAGTCACTGTGGGTCAGCCGTCCTGGCTTTCTCTTTTTCACCTTACAATGATCAATCACGAATCTACCTGACTGGCTTCACATTTTTGTTTTTGCTGTTGTTGTATTCTTTTATGTTTTTAATTACTTTTTGAAAATTTCAGACACTATATCGACATTCTTTCCCCTCTCCCAACTCCTCCCAGATCCCTGCATCACCTCCCTACCCACCCAACTTCCTGTTTTTTTCTTAAAAAAAAAAAATTAAAACAAGTACAAAATAACCGTGGCATCTGATTGTATTGGCCGACTACTGGTCATGGAGCCTGCCCTGGAGCGTGGTTGATAAACCAATGACACTCAGCTGAAGACAAGTGATGTTCTCTCTCCTAGCAGCTATCCGTGGCAAACAGCTTCTCAGCTGGAGTAGGACTTTGTGCCCACTTCCTCTTCTCTGTGCTGGAAGGACTCTGACTTGAGCTGTGTGGTTTCTTTGTGTGCTTTGGGACAGGATCTTACTATGTGGCCTTGACTGGCCTGGACTTACTGTACAGTTCTGCTTGCTTCCCAGTCGCAGGTATCCTCCAGCCTTGGCCTTCCTCCTAGTGCTGATACTAAAGGTGTACACTTCCCTGCCTGGCAGCTTTTTATTTTTAAAATTTATCTTTATGTTTCTGTGTGTGTATATTTGCATTATGTATGTGGGTGACCAAGGAGGTCAAAATAACATGGCAGATCCCATGGAGCTAGAGTTACAGCCATTTGTGGCCTGCCTAATGGATGTAGGTACTGGAAACCAAGCTTGAGTTCTCCGAAGAGTGGCAAGTGCTCTTTCTTGGGCAGTTTATTTAATTAAGCCAGGCGGTGGTGGCACATGTCTTTAATCCCAGTACTCAGGAGACAGAGGCAGGCAGATCACTGTGAGTTCAAGGTCACCTGGTCTACAGAGTGAATTCCAGGACAGCCAGGAGTACACACAGAAAAACTCTACCTTGAGAAACAAAACCAAAAATTATATAATTAAAAGAAATTAATTAAGCCTGGTGGTGGTGGCACATGCTTTTAATCCCAGCACTTAGGTGGCAGAGACAGGTGGATCTCTGAGAGTTCGAGGTCAACCTAGTCTACAAAGCAAATTCCAGGACAGCCAGGACTATTTCACAGAGAAACCCTATCTCAAAAAAAAAAATTAATTAAAATATAATTACATCATTTTCCCTCTTTGACCCTCCCTTTGCTCTCAAATTCATGCCTTTTTTCCTTTGTTGTTAGACATACATACATACATATGTATGTATATTATATTCCTAAATATAGAAGTGCAACCTGCTCAGTCTGTATGTTACTTGTATGTATATGATTTCAGGGTAGACCACTTGGTACTGAATAACCAATGGGGCTCTCTGGGGAAGATGGTTTTTCCCACTCAGCATTTCTTAGTTGCCTGTAGTTCTTAGTCCATGGTTGAGGCCTCTCCCCCTTCTGTATTAGCGTTTCTATTGGTGGCATCCTTGCTCTGGTTTAGTTTAGGCAGTCATGTTGATAACAGTTCATGGGTCTATCTTTGCTGACATTTCTGGGAGATGCAATATCAACACACTTCCTGTTCCTCTAACTTTTACAATTTTTCCCCCCCAGAATCTCACCCTGTTTCCAAGAACTCACTGTGCTGAAAGCTTCAACTCTCAACTCTGCTACTTACTAGCCCTTTGTCCTTGGTAGATGTCTTACCCGGTGTTTTAGTCAGGGCTCTCTTTAGGAAGAGAGCTTATAGAGTGTATGTGGATGGATGGATGGATGGATGGATGGATGGATGGATGGATGGATAGATAGAGGATTTATTTGAGTGGCTTACAGGCTGTGTGTGGTCCAGCTGTTCCAGCAATGGCTGTCTATCAACAAAGGGCTAAAATTCCAGGAATTGTTCAGTCCAGGAGGCTGGATGTCTCAGCTAGTCTTTAGAATATGCCAGAATTCCCATAAAGTAGGCTCTAATGTCAGTGAAGGAGTGGGCTTGCTAGCAAGGACTTTATATAGGCTACCAGCAAAAGGTATGTCTCAGATTAAAGGTGGATCCTCTCGCCTCAAAGATCTGAATTGGAAATGTGTCTTCCCACCTCAAATGATTTAATTAAGAAATAAAGACCCTTCACAGACGTGCCGAGCCATTTGGATTTTAGTTAATTCCAGATGTAGTCAAGTTGGCAACCAAGAATAGCCGTCACAAGTCCATCCTTGTTAATTTGACACACAATCAGATCTCGTGTCATGCTTAACTTCCAAATACAGAGAAAAGGGGATTTATTAGAATTACTTACAGGTTGTGGTGCAGCTAATCTATCCAGCTACCCTTTCTGTAGAGAGAGAGAATTCCTTATGGTGTCCCCGTGAATAATGCATATATAAAGTATCCTACAGTATGTGAACATAAGTGACTCCAGCTACTGGCATCTTGGATTATAGTGGTTAATGGTGTTTACCAGAAGGTCTAGAGTTTGACTAATGTAAGAG